GAAACACAGCTTTCCCATCCGCGGCGTTGCAAGTTGAAACGGTAGTACAGCCACGACAGCCAGAATGCTGGGCACGGTATCAGCAATGCCTGCGTAAAAGATGCGCAGAGTCTGCGAGCACACGTGAAGCCTGCTGCCGCCCTTGCTGCCAAGTGAAAGAGCAGACGGTGCGCTCGGTACTTTTGTCCTGTCCGAACAGATGACGATACAACGGGGCAGGGGGGGGGGGCAGTGTCGCAGTCAACTTTCGTAGCTTGAAAGGTGATGCTAGCGTCGGAAACACAGCTTTCCCATCCGCGGCGTTGCAAGTTGAAACGGTAGTACAGCCACGACAGCCAGAATGCTGGGCACGGTATCAGCAATGCCTGCGTAAAAGATGCGCAGAGTCTGCGAGCACACGTGAAGCCTGCTGCCGCCCTTGCTGCCAAGTGAAAGAGCAGACGGTGCGCTCGGTACTTTTGTCCTGTCCGAACAGATGACGATACAACGGGGCAGGGGGGGGGGGCAGTGTCGCAGTCAACTTTCTTAGCTTGAAAGGTGATGCTGGCGTCGGAAACACAGCTTTCCCATCCGCGGCGTTGCAAGTTGAAACGGTAGTACAGCCACGACAGCCAGAATGCTGGGCACGGTATCAGCAATGCCTGCGTAAAAGATGCGCAGAGTCTGCGAGCACACGTGAAGCCTGCTGCCGCCCTTGCTGCCAAGTGAAAGAGCAGACGGTGCGCTCGGTACTTTTGTCCTGTCCGAACAGATGACGATACAACGGGGCAGGGGGAGGGGCAGTGTCGCAGTCAACTTTCTTAGCTTGAAAGGTGATGCTAGGCGTCGGAAACACAGCTTTCCCATCCGCGGCGTTGCAAGTTGAAACGGTAGTACAGCCACGACAGCCAGAATGCTGGGCACGGTATCAGCAATGCCTGCGTAAAAGATGCGCAGAGTCTGCGAGCACACGTGAAGCCTGCTGCCGCCCTTGCTGCCAAGTGAAAGAGCAGACGGTGCGCTCGGTAGCTTTTGTCCTGTCCGAACAGATGACGATACAACGGGGCAGGGGGGGGGGGCAGTGTCGCAGTCAACTTTCTTAGCTTGAAAGGTGATGCTAGCGTCGGAAACACAGCTTTCCCATCCGCGGCGTTGCAAGTTGAAACGGTAGTACAGCCACGACAGCCAGAATGCTGGGCACGGTATCAGCAATGCCTGCGTAAAAGATGCGCAGAGTCTGCGAGCACACGTGAAGCCTGCTGCCGCCCTTGCTGCCAAGTGAAAGAGCAGACGGTGCGCTCGGTACTTTTGTCCTGTCCGAACAGATGACGATACAACGGGGCAGGGGGGGGGGCAGTGTCGCAGTCAACTTTCTTAGCTTGAAAGGTGATGCTAGCGTCGGAAACACAGCTTTCCCATCCGCGGCGTTGCAAGTTGAAACGGTAGTACAGCCACGACAGCCAGAATGCTGGGCACGGTATCAGCAATGCCTGCGTAAAAGATGCGCAGAGTCTGCGAGCACACGTGAAGCCTGCTGCCGCCCTTGCTGCCAAGTGAAAGAGCAGACGGTGCGCTCGGTACTTTTGTCCTGTCCGAACAGATGACGATACAACGGGGCAGGGGGGGGGGGCAGTGTCGCAGTCAACTTTCGTAGCTTGAAAGGTGATGCTAGCGTCGGAAACACAGCTTTCCCATCCGCGGCGTTGCAAGTTGAAACGGTAGTACAGCCACGACAGCCAGAATGCTGGGCACGGTATCAGCAATGCCTGCGTAAAAGATGCGCAGAGTCTGCGAGCACACGTGAAGCCTGCTGCCGCCCTTGCTGCCAAGTGAAAGAGCAGACGGTGCGCTCGGTACTTTTGTCCTGTCCGAACAGATGACGATACAACGGGGCAGGGGGGGGGGCAGTGTCGCAGTCAACTTTCGTAGCTTGAAAGGTGATGCTAGCGTCGGAAACACAGCTTTCCCATCCGCGGCGTTGCAAGTTGAAACGGTAGTACAGCCACGACAGCCAGAATGCTGGGCACGGTATCAGCAATGCCTGCGTAAAAGATGCGCAGAGTCTGCGAGCACACGTGAAGCCTGCTGCCGCCCTTGCTGCCAAGTGAAAGAGCAGACGGTGCGCTCGGTGCTTTTGTCCTGTCCGAACAGATGACGATACAACGGGGCAGGGGGGGGGGCAGTGTCGCAGTCAACTTTCGTAGCTTGAAAGGTGATGCTAGCGTCGGAAACACAGCTTTCCCATCCGCGGCGTTGCAAGTTGAAACGGTAGTACAGCCACGACAGCCAGAATGCTGGGCACGGTATCAGCAATGCCTGCGTAAAAGATGCGCAGAGTCTGCGAGCACACGTGAAGCCTGCTGCCGCCCTTGCTGCCAAGTGAAAGAGCAGACGGTGCGCTCGGTACTTTTGTCCTGTCCGAACAGATGACGATACAACGGGGCAGGGGGGGGGGGCAGTGTCGCAGTCAACTTTCGTAGCTTGAAAGGTGATGCTAGCGTCGGAAACACAGCTTTCCCATCCGCGGCGTTGCAAGTTGAAACGGTAGTACAGCCACCACAGCCAGAATGCTGGGCACGGTATCAGCAATGCCTGCGTAAAAGATGCGCAGAGTCTGCGAGCACACGTGAAGCCTGCTGCCGCCCTTGCTGCCAAGTGAAAGAGCAGACGGTGTGCTCGGTACTTTTGTCCTGTCCGAACAGATGACGATACAACGGGGCAGGGGGGGGGGGCAGTGTCGCAGTCAACTTTCTTAGCTTGAAAGGTGATGCTGGCGTCGGAAACACAGCTTTCCCATCCGCGGCGTTGCAAGTTGAAACGGTAGTACAGCCACGACAGCCAGAATGCTGGGCACGGTATCAGCAATGCCTGCGTAAAAGATGCGCAGAGTCTGCGAGCACACGTGAAGCCTGCTGCCGCCCTTGCTGCCAAGTGAAAGAGCAGACGGTGCGCTCGGTACTTTTGTCCTGTCCGAACAGATGACGATACAACGGGGCAGGGGGGGGGGGCAGTGTCGCAGTCAACTTTCTTAGCTTGAAAGGTGATGCTGGCGTCGGAAACACAGCTTTCCCATCCGCGGCGTTGCAAGTTGAAACGGTAGTACAGCCACGACAGCCAGAATGCTGGGCACGGTATCAGCAATGCCTGCGTAAAAGATGCGCAGAGTCTGCGAGCACACGTGAAGCCTGCTGCCGCCCTTGCTGCCAAGTGAAAGAGCAGACGGTGCGCTCGGTACTTTTGTCCTGTCCGAACAGATGACGATACAACGGGGAAGGGGGGGGGGCAGTGTCGCAGTCAACTTTCGTAGCTTGAAAGGTGATGCTAGCGTCGGAAACACAGCTTTCCCATCCGCGGCGTTGCAAGTTGAAACGGTAGTTCAGCCAACACAGCCAGAATGCTGGGCACGGTATCAGCAATGCCTGCGTAAAAGATGCGCAGAGTCTGCGAGCACACGTGAAGCCTGCTGCCGCCCTTGCTGCCAAGTGAAAGAGCAGACGGTGCGCTCGGTACTTTTGTCCTGTCCGAACAGATGACGATACAACGGGGCAGGGGGGGGGGGCAGTGTCGCAGTCAACTTTCTTAGCTTGAAAGGTGATGCTGGCGTCGGAAACACAGCTTTCCCATCCGCGGCGTTGCAAGTTGAAACGGTAGTACAGCCACGACAGCCAGAATGCTGGGCACGGTATCAGCAATGCCTGCGTAAAAGATGCGCAGAGTCTGCGAGCACACGTGAAGCCTGCTGCCGCCCTTGCTGCCAAGTGAAAGAGCAGACGGTGTGCTGGGTACTTTTGTCCTGTCCGAACAGATGACGATACAACGGGGCAGGGGGGGGGGGGCAGTGTCGCAGTCAACTTTCGTAGCTTGAAAGGTGATGCTAGCGTCGGAAACACAGCTTTCCCATCCGCGGCGTTGCAAGTTGAAACGGTAGTACAGCCACGACAGCCAGAATGCTGGGCACGGTATCAGCAATGCCTGCGTAAAAGATGCGCAGAGTCTGCGAGCACACGTGAAGCCTGCTGCCGCCCTTGCTGCCAAGTGAAAGAGCAGACGGTGTGCTCGGTACTTTTGTCCTGTCCGAACAGATGACGATACAACGGGGCAGGGGGGGGGGCAGTGTCGCAGTCAACTTTCGTAGCTTGAAAGGTGATGCTAGCGTCGGAAACACAGCTTTCCCATCCGCGGCGTTGCAAGTTGAAACGGTAGTACAGCCACGACAGCCAGAATGCTGGGCACGGTATCAGCAATGCCTGCGTAAAAGATGCGCAGAGTCTGCGAGCACACGTGAAGCCTGCTGCCGCCCTTGCTGCCAAGTGAAAGAGCAGACGGTGCGCTCGGTACTTTTGTCCTGTCCGAACAGATGACGATACAACGGGGCAGGGGGGGGGGGGCAGTGTCGCAGTCAACTTTCTTAGCTTGAAAGGTGATGCTGGCGTCGGAAACACAGCTTTCCCATCCGCGGCGTTGCAAGTTGAAACGGTAGTACAGCCACCACAGCCAGAATGCTGGGCACGGTATCAGCAATGTCTGCGTAAAAGATGCGCAGAGTCTGCGAGCACACGTGAAGCCTGCTGCCGCCCTTGATGCCAAGTGAAAGAGCAGACGGTGCGCTCGGTGCTTTTGTCCTGTCCGAACAGATGACGATACAACGGGGAAGGGGGGGGGCAGTGTCGCAGTCAACTTTCTTAGCTTGAAAGGTGATGCTAGCGTCGGAAACACAGCTTTCGCATCCGCGGCGTTGCAAGTTGAAACGGTAGTACAGCCACGAC